GTGATCGAGCGCGCGGCTCACGAAATACGACGACAAAATGCAGTGAAGTTTGATGCTTTCGATCTTAAAGAGCTACAGCTAAAATGTTTAAAGGGCAACAAGTACTGTTAACCAGTGGAACTATCACTGGTATGGCCAAAGTCAAATTTACAGCATGATAAACTAGTGAAAATGAAAAAAAAAACAGTCGATTTACTACCCGTGAATATATATTTCTTTGTTCTGTTATTAGATTACATAAAGCAGTACTATAATCTATACGGTTCTACGGCATTAAATGTTTAATTTCCCAGAGATTACGGAGAAGCCTTATAGTGGACGAGACTCGGGGAGGGGGAACCAAACTTTCCTCAATACATTGTACACACAATCAATAGTCCAACTTTCCAATTACCGGCGCAATAGAAAACGTTTTCCTCGTGGTTTTGTAAAGGTTATTCATTGGTAACAAAGAACTCGTGAAGTCCAGTTTTTACGCCGTAAATACAGTTTGTTATCAGCTGTAGTGGACTGGATTTTGCATCAAAACAGTTGTATAGATTCTGGTAACAATGCAAAGGTTATTCTGGACGTGATAGAAAGATAACATCTTTTCGAGTAATTGATTCTTGGACTGTTTGAAACTGAAGTAGTGGAAAATTGAGGGGAATTATAAAAGTAACGTGTCATAATGTGAAGCTTTGGTACAATAGTAGTAGTTCCTGCCTCTAAAATTTCAACCGAAATTAATATCATCGTCTCCTACTCTTGACCCAAGATTCCAAAATGTGTGTATTTTCGTTGATGTCAGTAAAGTGGCGACTCGTTTTTTAAAACAAATAGTCAAATTAGTATGAAGATACACCCATCATTCTAGAGTAGTCCTACAGTTTCTTCCTTTGTCAGCCCATGGTCAGCTGAACTGCTTGGCTGTCACAACCTCCGGAGCCCCCGTGTATCGGGAAAGTCCATCATGTCCGAGTGTTTGCTGGTCAAGATCGAATGCAAACAAGCTTTCTCTGAACGGCGTTATCCCCCTCTTTCATTACAACTGGGGTCAATGTCACTTGAAGTAGTGGCCATGACATTATTGGATTGGCTTTGTCGTTGTATAGCTTGGGTACCTGGATGGGGTCGTATTTGGATCTAATTATGTTATCAGAGTGGAGCGCTGTGGTATATTGGCGAAGGCTCGTGATTCTCATATGATAGATCCTTGGTTCTATCCTCGTTTGGTGCTCACATCCTTGGACAATGTGTTTTGCCAACAGTTGGGCCTTCTCTACCCAGGTATATTAAAATGAGTACTCGGTACCTGGATATGCTTGGGTTTCTAAATCAGATATTTACAGGGCCTGTAAGAAGAACAACGGTGATACTGATCTAGTTGCTACCTTGGCTAAATAATGGTTCTGAAGAGAACTATCAGCCATCGTGTTTAGATCGAATTTAAACTGGCTATATATTGCATTGCCACTTTAATTGCGCAATACTTGTTTGTCTCTCATTCGTCTTTGTAGTTAGGTACATCCTTAGCTGAACATCAAATCAATAAAAGCATTATCATGAGTCTCAATCTCAATATACTATCCAACTTGTATCGTGTAGATCTTGTGTAGAGCCGAGATCAGAACCCGTCGGCGAAACTATTTTTCCGTCTGTCTCCCAGAGTTCAAAGACGGTAAATTCTGGTTTCCCAAGAGAGGAAACGAATACGATCATCTCTTTATTTCATGGCGGTTTGCCCTTTTACGGTATGGAATCCAAATGGACAAGTCCTAAACAAAACGGTCCTAATTTCGTGCTCTGAGGAGACTTTCCTCTCGGGAAGATTTTCCCAATTTCTATTTTCAAAGTCAGTTGGATTCTTTATAGGCCAGCAAATCTTGACTGTATAAGCTGTAGTTTTATACATGTTCCGCCATTTTGCCTTATACCCTCTGTTTTGGGGGGTAGTTTTGGGGTAGTGACGTCAGCTAGACTCTGGAATGTGGTCGTGGGTTACCTATATGTCAACAGTTCGTAGATCTTTCTGGCGTCGGTTCGCTTTTCATGAATCGCGGATACATTCCAAGTACATCGAGACAGCAGTCATAATAAGCGCGTTTTATTCAAAACCCAACCCCTAGTCGTAACCTAACCTTTGGGGGTGGGGGGGGGGGGGGGGGGCTTGTTGTCATGTGTATGAAGTCATTGTCGTAATTATGTAGATTACTCAACGTCACTTATCAATATCTTCCTGTAAATAGCGGCCTATTGAGAGCCACAAAAATGTTAACTCTGAGTTAAAGTACATGTATAATGAGATAACGCCTGCCTGGCTCCGAGCTGAACAACATCTATGGAGATTGATGCAGTTAGAATTTTACAATACACTTTACTGCACAATTTGCGACAAACCCCGAATGTTATAGACCAATTCATGAGCTCACAATTTCCTTCTTGTATCACAACGGAATTGTCAAGTACATGTAGTACTCACCCATAACGGAAGGCCACAGCTCAATTGGGATAACACAAACATCGAACTTCGGCATGTTTTATTACGTATCTGGGGATGTGTTTCGGTCCCTCAACGACTCCGGTGGGACGACTTATTTGTCAGCCGCGCGGGTTACAAGGAGAAGTTTTATGGTGGCTTTTTACGACAATCACCTTCGCTGGTAGCGTTATAAAAAATCCTATCATCACGGTTTGGATATAATCTTATCTCCATGCCAAGGTTATACAAAGAGAGCTCTCCAGACTCATTGGATACCTTGTCTCGAGTTGTAGAAAGTTGTCACTGGCAATAGTGAATAATAGAAAAAGAGGCAATTGCTTATAATATCATACATGCCAACTGTTCAGATTAAAGAGGAACATTCCTCTTTTTGGGAGAAGATAATTATCATTTTAATGCAGGTGTTCCTCTTCCTGTACAAATTTGTCTGTAGTATTGAATAGGAGAGTTAGGATTGTTCCTCTTTTCTTTGAAAATAGCATAATTTGTACAGATTTCTGATTTTCAAATGTTGGCATGTATGTAATTATGTTGATACAAAAATTAAACATTTTAAAATGGCTATTCACAATTTGTTCTGGTTTACTGTACCAGAGACATGCATCCCTGGTTGCACTGTTTGATACGTTGATAACTTGATAGGTTAGTTGATTTCTTTGACTCTGTCTGGCGATGTTTTTCTGTTACGTGTTTACCTATTCAAAGTTGAATTTCATGTGGAAATTATATCACATGCTGCTTTTGTGATGCCAACACTTCTTTTAACGAATCAAAATTCTTGTTGCTGGTCCAGTCCTTTAAGTTTTGCTAAATCCAGATATTCCTTTCGTATTCTCGCCTACACAAACATCTATGGTTTCTAAACTTCACAAAGATTTAACCCCAACCCGATGACTTACTCTGTCTGTCGTTACCTTCTTATTTTCCCATCGCCATTAATTCCCATTACAATTCAAATTGGGACCAGATTGGTTTCATCTCCAAACTTCGAGGGAAAAAAATTATAAAAACCCAGAGGATAATAGATTATTCAGTTCGGCTGTGCACCAAGTACAATAACAATGCTTGATAAGCAAAAGAAAAATATAATCTTGCATTGAGCGGGGATTATCACAGGGGTGGGGTTTTGTGTCTCGCCATTTTTCTCGCCCGATTTGACGAGAATTTTCATCATCAGCATTCGATTTTACGGTCAGATGGCGGCATGAAAAGATAAAATTATGGTAGTGAACCGAAATGAAAATGTTGCTTTCCTCGCCTTTGCCCCCCCCCCCCGTCTTTATCTTCCCCCTCTCTGTTGTACACTCATTGTGTTGGTCTGTGTAGGCCTACTCCTTGTGTAAGGCGATGTGATGGTTCAACATTAATAATTAATTTACTGAGCCTTTCTCATTGTAATGTCATAAATACTCATGATTATCAAATTATTTACACAAAACAAATTGGACTCCAATACATCCTTTGTCCGTTATTTGTGATTGGTATTCGACCATTTTCTGATTACTGTATATTCAAATCACACGACTTCGAGTAACTAATCACCGCGGTGGATGGATGCAAGTGTGTAGTAGGAGGCCTTGTTTGTGCCTGGTCTAATCGGGAATCAAGTGTGGTGCTTGTTATGTATCGCTTTCTACGAAAGGTTTCCAACCCTCTCTGTACTTGGCAATGCCTTTGAAACACGAGAGACATTGGAATGCGGTCAGGGGTATTACGACGGGTCAGACTATAAAACCTTGTGATTTATGCGCAGGTAAAGCCCTGGACTATTGCCTCGACATGGCGTTTGTAACACAGGAACAAATTTGATCGTTGTAGGGCCGGTGATGAAAGCAATGCTGATGGGAAAAACAGCAGGGATTGAATTATGTGTGGTAGGCCATCGCCCTAACCACCGGGCTATTGCAAGTTCCACGCAAAGACATGTATGGCCTAAAATAAGCGGACAAACGAACTTGCGTTGTTGGTTGTGACTGAAAAAAATAGAAGCTCCGGTTGTTACTGAAATGAAAATAACAACTTGAGGAATTGAATGGCATCAAAATTGGGTTATAATGTTATTGGAATTTGTCACTTCGATTTGGTATTTTGCTCCATTATCTTTAGTTGTAATCTTTAACCATGTTTTTATCTTGAAGTTATTGCGGATATAGCATATTGGTGAATTTATAGGCTCTTACACGTTTGAATTTCATTTTTTACATGATTCCCCCGGAGATATGTTGTTTTAATAAATAAATGTACGTTATTCCGCTTCTTATTGACAGAGGGCGGAAGTTCCATTGTAAGCCCTCCTCACCCGCCATTCCATCTGAAAAGTAAACCCCCACCTGCTTGGATTTCGGTTTGAGCATTACGTTCTAATCACATTGGCCTTCACGCTGGGTTGTCAATGGTTTTACACCGAATGAACCGGTCAAGGCGATGAGGCCAGGCGTCTGGGAATTCATACATATTCGAAATGCTCTTGCTTCCTTTAATCTAACTGTAATTTCCCCCTTCTTTTTCGTTTCTGCAGTTGACTGTGATCATCAAGCCATTTCGGGACGGTGAATGCGCACAGCGGAAACTGTACCAGGCCACCGCTGGAAATCTCCCCACAACCTTCGACGACGGGACAATCACAAGCGGTCGGGAGGAAGGCGTCGTCATCATCGAAGTCATCCCTGGTGAACACGTTGAGATTCACATCAGGTACATCGCGACGTTGATCGTCATCCGCCAAGTCGGCCGGTACATCACCTTCGCCGTCCGCATGCCTGAGGAGCTGATCCAGTACCAGGGCGCAGAAGACATGCAGCTCTGCGTCAAGGGTTGTCCGGTCTCGGAACAGATAGACTACGCCACATTCTTGAGCCAAACGACGCGCGCAGATCGCAACTACAAAGAGCTCCGTGTCGACGCCATTGCCAAATGCAGAAAAGCCAAAATCTACGACGAATATTTAGATTCGTGCGTCTTTGACCTCCTCACAACAGGCGACGCGAACTTTACACAAGCCGCGAAGAGCGCCCTCACCGACGTGAATCGTCTTCATCCGAATGCTTCCTTTCTGTTCAAAAACAGGACTAGTGTGTTTGAAAATGCATCCTTCCCAGGATACAGGGACATTGAAGGTGGAGCACCACCAAGAACTTATTTATTTCATCACTTACAGTTCAACCTAGCAATGGTACTATTCTCAATACTCATCAGTAGTTATATGTCTTCATGGTGTCACATTCAGCGGTGACACCCAACACCCACCCCAGTTTTTGTAAGCCCCCCTTCCCCCAAATCCTATATTATTTTGTATATTATTTTGTAAAAAATATATTATATTAACTTGTATTGAAATCTATTATATAATTCAAAACATCCTGAGCAAATGCTGTACATACAATTTAATAAAGATATTTGGAATACTCATTATCAGTTCAGAAGTCAGAACATGAAAGTAAACAGAATGTACCAAACTTAAATATACCAAATTCGAAAGTATGACATAAAAAAAAAAGAAAGAAGATGTTACTTTTTGTGGAAGAAAATGACAGACAGCAGTTATCAATTGCTCAGGGTATATTTGCTGAGATGGCTTTGCAAAAAATGGAATTAAAATATGTGACAAAGTTAAAACTTTAAACTCATGAGTTCTTGTTTTTATCTTGTTTTCTGGATTCTATTCAAAAGCATGGAGGTAATTATAATAAGTTGTGATGATGAAGAAGTTGAAAGAACATGATAATGATCATGATATTAAAGGGATCCGGTAACTTTGTCTCAGATTCAGAAACAAAATTCTGGATTTAGCTCATGATGCAATGATAATTATAAACCTTTAGGTCAGTCAGGAAACCCATGAATTTTACAAGCCGATCGCCTGTCTGATTATCAAGATATTTATGATTGGAATTACAAATTTTGAAAACCGTTCGCCTGACGGTTTTCATAACACTACAGTCTATTGGGGAAAATGAGTATGGTAAAACCGGTCACTCAAAGATTTTTACTTTTTTGAGGCACTTCTTGATCATTTTGAAGCGCAATTTTTTTAGGGCTTCAATATTACACCATATCACAGACACTGATAACACGTAGGGCCGTGTATCTCAGATTTAACATTGTTAAACGATCCCTTTAATGATGAGTAAATACGCTCATGGTCATTGATTATGATAATGCGACAGTGCTGATGGCTGAACGTAATTGTGATAATCACGATAAGTGCAATGATAACTGATAATGAATAATAATACTGACCTGCAGGCATAATGATGATGATGGTAACTTCATGTCTGATAATGGTGATGATAGTGATGATAACTGGTGGTCATGATGATGGTAACTAACTATGATAATGGTGATGGTAACTGGTGGGCATGATGCTAGGTTTATAATCTGGTGATCATGGTGATAATAGTGATGGTAACTGGTGATCATGATGATGATAATGGTGATGGTGACTGGTAGTCATGATGATGGTAAATATGCTAATGGTGATTATAGTGATTGAACTGGTGATCATGATGATGGTAAATATGCTAATCGTGATTATAGTGATTGAACTGGTGATCATGATGATGGTAAATATGCTAATAGTGATTATAGTGATTGAACTGGTGATCATGATGATGGTAAATATGCTAATGGTGATTATATGGTGATGATGATAATGGTAACTGGTGGTCATGATGAAGGTAACTATGATGATAATAGTGATAGTAACTGCTGATCATGATGATGGTAAATATGCTAATGGTGATTATAATACTGGAACTGGTGATCATGATGATGGTAATTATGATTATAGTGATGGTAACTGGTGGTCATGATGATGCTAGCTTTGATAATGGCGATGATAGTGATGGTTACTTGTGATAATGGTAAGGGTTGTTGTAATAAACATAATCAAGCAGGATGTTCAGATTTTTTCTGAATTGATTTTATTTCATTTACCTATTTTCATTTTTTCCTCTTTTTTGCTGAATATTTCAGACACATTGATTTCCCTCGCTGGAATATGTTCGTTTCTTTCAAATGATTTCTTGGACTATAATCTCTTTCTCTCGCTCTCTCTATCTCTTTTTTCTTCTCTCTCTCTCTCTCTCTGATGTTATCGCAAGCGACACAGCTATTTTATAGCGGCGGGAGAGTCGATAAATGTAAACAAGAATATTATTTTGGGCAGCACGTTAATAACTTGGATTTGAAGAGAGATTTGTAACCTTGAAGAATTTGGGCCAAGCATAGAAGGGGCACTGTGTGCTCCAGAAAAAGCCCCCCCCCCCCCCTACAATATGTTACCCCTCTTGTTCTGAAACTTACTTTCTCTTTCTTTCGCACTTCATCCGTTCTCTCTCTCTCTCTCTCTCTCTTTCTTATCTCTGTATTTCATTTTCATATCTCGCTCTCTCTCTCCCTTTCTCTATTTCTTATAATTGTATATCTCTCTTTCACATCTCTATCCCACCCCCCCCCCCCCTCTCTCTCTCTCTCTCTCTCTCTCTCATATTTCTTTCTCTCTCCCTCTCTGTCTTTAAAACCCAATAGACATTCCTTTGTAAAACTTTCAGTGATGATCAGTGATCAAAACCTTAGTTGAAAAAGTCAATTCAGACTATCCTACAGTTCACACCTTTCAAAACGAGTAGGCCTACACGTCTACCATTAGGCGTGACAGTGTGTTTCGATCCATTTGGACTCCATTAGATGGATCTACTACAAACCAGGGAGATGGGTGCTGATATGTGAAGCTGGTCAAATGACACTACAGGAAGAAAGTGTTTCCAGCATGTCAAGAATCAAATGAGAGCATGGGCTTGTACACTTTTACGACGACCCCATCGTTATCTCTTTGCTAGCCTGATATGGCTCCGATATAAATATGCTCAGGACACCTCCCAAATAAACTACAAATGTATACAAGATGTATGGGCCTGTGCTAAAGAAATAATCTACTTCTTAAATATAAGTATTTTTTACACCAGCCAATCACATAGGGGAATTCAAGTTAGCTTAGAAGATATGTAAATTCCTTAATTACAGTGATATAATCGGTAAGACATCATTAATGCAAATGAACATGGAATAGAACGGCCGATTTATATGGGAATATACACCATGGATTTCTACCTTAAGTCCCACGTGTATGCATTCTACATTCGGTTTTTCCAACCCCCGTACAATGTATTTACATAACCCGGGCTTAGGAAATTTGGACTTGGCACTGACCCTTCCTTTGTCCACTTGAAGCGATAACGATCTGCATAAAGCTACTAATCTGCCTGACAAATCTTACCCCCTTATCGTTGGTATCATTCATTACTGAACTACACACCTGAAATGACAAACCCAAAGAGAGGGGACCCCAATTAAAAATGGCGGTCTTATTTGATGCGGTACACGATGAATAGCTTCATTTCATTTGCCCTTATCCAGTGAAGCCCTCTCTCTCTCTCCCTTTAGGAGTTGTTGGTGGCGAATGTCAAGCAAAGCATTCAATTACGAGTTGACAAAAGATGCATTACTCACACCTTGCAACTTCGCGCACGCTATTTTAATTCAACATCGCTGGATTAAAGAATTAGGTCCGATCTCTTTTGATTAGTTCAGGGGGATTTCAATAGAAATGCGAATCCTTTTATATTCTATTTTCACCTTACGTGTTGGACTTAGGTGAGAGAGGGGTTAGGAAATAGAGCTGGAAGTCTAGAGAGAATGGTTTAGGCAGGGACTAATCCAGGAGGACTTTGTAAAGGGTGGGAACTTATTAAATTGAATTTTACAGATCCCATCTTTATTTAGGCCTAATCTCAAAATCTCTTTCTTCTCTCTCTCTCACGCTGTCTCTCCATCTCTCATCTCTTTCTCTTTAATTCCATCTCTCTTAATTATCACCTATCCCTCCCCTCTCTCTCTCTCTCTCTCTCTCTCTCCCTCTCTCCCTCCCTATTTCTTGTTGATGTTGGCCTATAATCTTGCTATATACATAAATTACGTTCTATCACACTCTAGAGGATTAGATCAACGTTTTTTTCGTAATAAAGTTTTGTAGGGTCATGTGTATTTGAAGGTAAAACCTGCTTCAAAGCAGTAAATATTAGTGATAAACAATGAAGCTCTAGCACCCGCTGCAAAGATACCGACACTTTAAATAAAAAGAAATAAACATGTATTTGATACTTACACAATACAAATCTCTACTCCTTTATCAATGTAGGATAAACAGAAGTTTATCAGCAATGATAGATAACAACTTTGCTATTAATGATATTAGTGATCAAATTGTTAAGCCAAGCTGTCTTTTAGTCACTGCTCACACTCGAGATTTTCCATCCAGCAAATATCCTTTTGTAGACTTGGTCTTAGCCATGAACTGGAACGGTATACAGTATATGCATTGAGTACTAGCCTTGAGCCCAATTTCATACTCGGCTGGACTTGGTATTGTACACAGGAGAATGCAAAGCTGTGAACTTCAAAACTATTATTGTCCCCAAACTCTGGTCTTCTTTCAGACAACAAAATCATTATTATGCTGCCGGTTTGGAAAGAAAATGAGTTCATGATCTGAACAGATGACGCGGCCAACTCCTCAAACTCTTTGAAGATATACATCTTCAATATGGCGTGGTGATTAGCAATACAAAATGTAAGGTTTAAAACAATTTAGCGTAGTCTTTCGCCTAGATCAAGGGCTCATTATGGTCGGAACTACGTTATTAGGTAACTAGGGTAATGGTTATGGGACAATATCCTAACCCAAAGGGGAAAAATAGCATATTATGCTATTTTGAACAACATGCAATACATCTTCCCTTTATTCCTACCCGCTCATTCCCGGCGGCAAGGCAATACCTATTCATTAATTTTCACCATTATTTTGATTTCTATGATTTCGTGCGGATACGATGAGCATGATAAGCTTCGATGAATCGGCGGGGTTTTGTATTAGAGTCAACATTAGCTCATAATTTAACCTACATTTTTCTAGTTTTCGCTTTGATGAATATGAGGACAAAAACATGACGGTTTGTCGCCGGAAAGCATTTCAAAAAGTGTGTCTATACTATGAATACCATCTATTTGAATGAGAGGGTATGTGAACAGAAAGGGCGAAGAGTGAAAGAGAATAAAATTATCATGATGATAAACTGGTCATGAGATGTCAAAATAAAAGATTGAGTGGATGAGGAAAATTGAAATAATCGTCATACCTATAGACATTACGAATAACCACAAATATTTTAAACCACAGAGAATATTACATTCAAATTCTTCTTCTTCTAATATCAATTTCCATCTGTCTACGTATTCATCATTTTGTTTTAATTAGTCAAGTATTTTCTTTCAAAATTCCAAATTCTTTGTTATAGTAGGTACCGATTTCGACACGTGGAGTATAAAGGTTGTATACATTATAACGCAATAATTGCTATTTATTGGCTTTTCTTTGGTCACTGCTACTACTTTTACTACAACCCGGCATTCGTTAGCTCTTCATGCAGTTTCGTATATTTCTTTTTACCTCACAAACATATTCTTATATGTTCAGATATTTTGTAATTTTGAACGGCAATGTCGGTTAATTTAAATTGACAGAAAGCTGAGACTGTACTCCCATAATGGGGCCGATTCAGAACT